CATTGTAATCACTATCGTTGCAATGATGGTCTTGTATAGTCATATGCTTGCTTACTATGAAATAATCTATTCAGCTGATCAATATGGTAACGTTCTTTCATCATGCACTAGTCAAAAAGGATTCTACCGTACGTTCATTGCATTTTGGCATATGACTCTCTACTCACTTTGTCCATTTTTTCTCATGCTTTTATTTGGTTCTCTTACACTTAGAAATATTCGCCAGCATCGTCAAGTGGTCTCGACGACTGATGAAAACAATCGGATTCCTCAGCGTAGAAATACTCAACTCTTGCGCATGTTAGCTGCTCAAGTATTCGTCGTCATAATCTTTATTTTACCATCCTCTATTCATCGACTCTATGTTGCGTTTACTGCAAATATGAAAAAGAGCTCATTTCAGCTTGCTCAAGAAGATTATGCTCGTGAAACACTAAATACTATGACATATTTTGCTCATACAGCTACCTTCTTTTTATATACATTGACTGGTACCATTTTTCGCAAGGAAGTTGTCAAACTCATCCATCGTTGCTTGCCTCACAATTAAAGTCTTATTCCTATGTCTAATTCAACAACAAATGAAATATGAGTTCTGCAGAAAAATCGACCAATCACTGTTGTGGATAAAATGATTCTAAATAACAATAAAAGTGACACGCGAAAGACAAACATTTAATACTAAAAGAGTGTTTCATAATCTCATATATTCATTGTTAATATACTTATGAAATATTTATTATTTAATCTCAAATAAATATTGTCTGTTGTTTTGTAACGTCTCAACAATATTTACATGTTTGATTACAATAGAATAGTCTTTGAATAGAAAAATGCTGTGAATGTGTTATAATCAACTAATATAATGTTCAATTTCCATTGAATTAGGCAGACGTACACATTCAAAGAAAGAAAGAAAATATTTTTAGAAAGGAAAATATAGAAAAAAATTGTTCAAGTTTCTAAATACGACTAACTTTGTAACACATAAATGTCAGAAAGATTGATTCACCTATCGTGAAAAATTCGATTGCTCCACTGAAAAACCGATCAGTTAACATCTCCAGGATTGTACTTTCAAACATAGATAGTCTTCCAACGACACGCCAACTACTACATATTTTATTTCGAGCTACTGTTCATCCTTCCACTATATCAGATCAGTTTTCGCTTCTCCTATTCATGATTCCAATCGTTCTTTACATTTCTTACAAATTTTCTTCACTGTATGTACAGTGCATTTTCTTGGTTGTCATCGTTCATAGTTAGAAGAAAAAATCAGGATATGTTTTTTCAAACTTACTTCAAACTGCTAGTATAAATGCTTTCCTTCTGTGAAACTCTCTTTTCACAATATTTTCTATCAGATTGGCGTTTGTTTTTTATTCTACTTAACTTCTTAAGTTTTTACAAAAATTGTAAAGCAATTATTGGGGTGCAAGCGTGATTGTCGGATGTGGGTGCTAATAGACTGAAAACTCTTACTCACACTCACACCCACACCCACACCCTTTAGTTATTTTACGCGAGCAAATATCATATTTGTGTTTAAAATTGAGTAACCAAGTATCGAGCACAGAAAATTCATTGAATGACATCGATCTTGCTTGTTGATAGGCCCATCGTTTCAAATTAATGTCATGAATCGAATAAAGTAAATCTCTAGCACACTCAAACTTGTCATAGACGAAATCGTCAACCGAGTCGACTTTCTGTTTTTTTCGTTCCCTCTTGCTTGACGTATTTCCGGAAACGAGTCATATTATATTGATACTGTGTACGTCGAAAGTGACGTTTTACATTAGTTCATGTTTGTAGTCTTTTACCAGTTATAGGATTCATAGCATGATAGAATTCAAGAGCCCGTTTCATATAAGAAAAACTGAAGCTCTCGAAAACGGTTGCTTCTGTATCTTCTTCTTCGTAGTCGGAATCTTGGAAAGAATCATCCGGATTCACTTCACATCCGTCGAGTTTCGAGTCAGGAGTCGAGTAGGCAAGTCTAGTTTGATACTCATGTGTGTACGAATCACTAGTTAAGATAGACTCCAGCGTTTCCAACAAATGAGTCGCCACTTCCTCTTCATGAATAACCGTTGTGGAGAAAGATTTCGATAGTTGTTGAGACACTTTGTCCATCAATAGCTGCGTAATTCTACTCCCAGCACTCATTTTCGTCAAATAACCCCCAAGAAATCAGCTTTTTCTTTCACCCACTGATAAAAAAGAAATATGCGCATACACATACGTCTTCCCTTCTCTTCTCTTTTTTCGTTCTCACACGTCGATATGTATTAAATCAACAGACAGCAAAAAGATAAAGTTATTCTCATATCATTCAAGACCTATTCCAAATGACTCATATTGTTGTGATAGAAAGAGTAAACACATACGTGGATTAATGGTAATGAAAATTGCACAGTTGCATCTATGAGTGTTGAAATGAACTCAAACTTTTACTGTATTTAGCTGATGACTACCTCTTTAGATGCTCAAAATATCAGCTTCATAAACACTTTCCTCTCGGCATAGACTCAAATGCAATAACACCAAATTTTCAAGAATTTTCAAAATTTTTGAAAAATATCGAAGCCATTGAATGATACAGCTCAAACTTTTAGCAAACCATGGCCACTATGATCATTGGTAACAGTAAAAATATGACGCCCATCGGACGTTGCTCAAGTGAGAAATCAAAGATTCAGGGGCAGAATCGTGTTTTTCGATGAAAACTTGAAATAGTCATAGCTCCCTCAGAAAGCAATAAGAGCACGAACCAACTTAGAATATTTCACTACTCACTATGATCTACAAGATAAAAGCAGTCCGAGTCCACAAGCTTTTTATCACCTCGAGAGGTTCCCTCGTGAGACATTTTTTTTTCGTCGAAAAGTTCACCCCTACTTCTCCTCTGGGAATGGTCAAAAAATGATGTCTCTCAAAATGGTCTCTTTATCGTTCATTTTTCTGCTGTTTCGCTTTCACTCGCACTTTTGAAGTCCAGGCACTCCATTCTATAGGACAAGTGATGTTTTTTGAGAGACATCATTTTTTTGACCATTCTCCGAGGGAGAGAGTGAATGTGGATGTATCGGTGTAGGTATAAATATTCCCATCATGTTAGCTGACACACTCATACCCACACCCACAACCGTTTATTATTTGATTCTATAAGATACAAGAACATGATGGTAGGCAACTGGCCAATATCTAAAGATGAATTATATGGACCACCATCAGCTTGTTCAATAACGAATAATTATGAAATTCCACTACTATCGATTTATGTTGTACCTATTACAGGAGTTAAGTGTCAAGAAAGATCATCCACTCGTACATAGTATTGTTTTACTGGAAAGATTCGTCCAGATGTATATATAAGTATGTGTAGATAGAGGTAACCTGAAGATTATTGTTATTTCTTCAATACACACTCAACCTGAGTCGACAGTGTCTAATTCTAATAACGGTAGATGTGTACGAAAGACAATAGAGTATTACATTTTTAACAATATTGAAAAATTAATTATTGGTGATCAAGAATGATTATCAGCTGTTGCTTGGGGTATCAAGAATGTTTATCTCGATATATATATATAGATATATGGAGAATATTTGAATAATAATGATAAATCAATCGATTCACTTATTATTTGATATAGTTATTCCTGTTCGGAATATGGATTTATTTTATTAATAAAAAAACTAATCGAATATTGATGAAACATTTTTGATTGAATCCATAATTGATTTTGTGCATATACTGTTTTGAACATAAGATAATGCGCAAGCGATTATTGATCGAAGCCATGCTAACTAGAAAATATAATTAATCAAAATTTCATAGAATTAAATTTTATATCTTTAAAAACTGGTTACGTTTGTGCAACTGATACTAGTTATGAGAGCAAAAATTTGTTGTGACTGATACAATCTTGCTCCTATGTTAATTCTTTCCAATAACTTAACTATCAGCAAAAACAACTAACGATATTTGCTACGAATTCTTTTGCGGTCATACTCGTGGCCATTATTCAAAACACAGCTCTTTAAACGCATAAAAAAAATGTTAACATGTTGCTAAAGCTAAAGATCAAAGAGTTTTTATGTGGTCTATGATTATATAGGCGTTACTTTTTTGCGAACCGAATAAGTTTTGACTTTACTATATATATATCTTGTTCGAGAACAACTCCATTTAATCCTGTATTTTCGAAAAAAAGTTAGCAACCACCTACTCCAGGTATGCTTTTCAACCTTTCAACTGGTAAAAATTTCCAATTATTGCGGGAGGTGGGTGTCATATCATGTCTCCTCTTCTGGTCGAAACAGCCCTGCTTATAATGAATGACAAAAAATGTTGTATTTATGAGAAATAAAGAGAAAAAATGGAGTGTTAATAGTATTTTTTTCTTTTTCTATAATACATCATCTTCATTGATGTATGTACTTCTTCAGATCTTAAATAAATGAAAAATTCTAAAAAATAAATCTTTACAATTTTCAATTTAGCAAGGTTTAACATGTTGATACACAATATTCACGTTTTTTAAATCAAGCTTAAGAATACATTAATTCTTGATTTTTCATATCAAAGATACAATACTATATTTGCAATATTTATCACGCTCAATTTCGATCAAGTTTTGGAGTGAGATTTGTTCACACTATCCAATATTACTGCTATACACGAGAAAATATGATTAAAAAGTATTAGAATTGACTACAAATTTTATATTTACGAGAAACTGCGTCCGTTTCTGATATTGTTGAATCATATTTTCTCATTTATGACGATTGTATCGGATAAAATAGTAATAACTGCCCATCTGTCTTCTACAAACTAATATTTTTGTTAAATAAATAATCATATAAAGTAATTTGAATTTTATTATTTGTAATTACGAAATAATAAAAATATTTAAATTTAGATTTTTCACACATGCTATTTATTATAATTGAAAATGAATCAAATCATTTTGATTGATATTATTTCTGAATCAGCGATAATTGGATAATTCTAAATATTCACATAAATTTCGGTTTGAATCTTCTATGAAAACATTAGCAAGGATAAAATAAGCAGAGAAAGCGATTACTGGTAATGGTAAAGCGGGTCCATCTTCGATTGCATTCCAGAATTTCATGAATGTACCTATCCATATTGTTAGTATGTAACCAATTTCTATGAATATTATACAACCAATTCCAATACAAATTTTCATTTCTATCGATGAAACTGGTGGTAATACAAATAATACCATTAAATTGTAAAAAAGGAAATCACCAAGACTAATTGAATGAGCATATTTTTCTTTCTCTGATTCGGCGAATTCCATATTTTCATAGTCTTTCAAGAAATAGTATGCATCACGAGGAAATATTGACAAGTCGGGTGATGATAATGCTGTTGACGAATTCAGTAAATCTTCAAATTCACGAGGATGGAAATGTAAACATTGGAAACTGAAATTAAAAGAACGTAAGTTAAATACGAGAAAAAATTTATAATATTAGTTCTAATTATTTATATCGATATTTATCAGTGTAGACATTCATGGATTAATTTTTATTCTCATTAAAAGATTGTCATTCTTCAGAATAGCAATTCGATTCATTTTTTTATCAAAAAAAAAAAAAGAAGTTAGCTAAGGTAAAATGTGAATTGTACATTGTTTTCTCATTGCTAATTCATTAGAATCGAAACAAATTATTCCAATATGAAAATGAATTTTTAGTCAAAATTTTATCAAATTGAATTGATTTGTTTTTACTATAATCTCACTGGCTATCTCTATTAATAATTAGTATCTCACCAAGACGATGTAGGATCAATTAAAGAAAATTTGATATTCCAATATTAAAAGCTATTGATCGAATTAATTAAAAAAATAAAAGATCTTTTTAAATAATCAAACAAATAAACAAACTATAATGAGCTTCAAAGTATTTTCGATATTAATCAATGTCTGCAATATTTTCTTCTATACTTACCAATCTTTCACGGAAAAATACCATATGAAAGCAAATTTCAGATGAACAGAAATGTAGCGAAAACCTATGTCATGCATTATGAATGCAAAAAGTGACTGACATAAACATAACAATCCTTGTTGTAAAGTAAATGAAAACAACGGAAGTTCATATGAAATCCATTTGAAATAAAGATATATAAACTGCCAGATAATAAAATAGACAGCAAACACATCCAGTTGACACCACAGATTTAAACCATTACACAATCGAGCTATTAACCAAACATTTGCTACTAATATTAAGACAAGTGTTTTATATTTTTTCACTATTTCACCATAGCACCAACCAAGTATTTTGATCAAAAATACAATGAAACAATATAAATAGATTTCTATGCACAATATATTCTTAGCACGAAGTTCACAAATTTTAATCACTAAAGATAGAGATAATAATGATAAAATTCACCACTATAACAAAGATTTACCTTGCCAATTGTTTAATGCACAATGTACCAAAAAACAAAATCACGATTTGTATCCATAACGATATTTTGAAAGAAATTATCATTCACTCTTGTTCCTTCCAAACTACAATAAAATATTAATGTCATTATCATACTCAGCCTAGTAGCCGTCATAAAATGTGTATCAGGATTCATTGTTCACACTTCAAATAAGAAAAACTTGAGAACAAATTGATCTTTTTCCGTAGTTTATGCTAAGATGATTGAAGCACATGTTAAACATCATTTATATATATAATATTTATTGTTGCACAAAATGAATAGCACCAAGAATGTTTTGTTCAACAGATTTCCATATAAAGAAGGGTCAACCGGTCATTAAATAACAGGAGGAAAAAGAATGTGTAAAAAGAAGAAAAGAATCAGCAGTTGAGAAGTAGGAGCAATGGAACATTCACGAATAAAGCAGACCTTCATCAATTATAAATACTTCTACCAAAAAGTTGAAAATCCTTGGGGAGGTGTTCTGATGTTGTGTAAATTGAGTGTACCAGTAGTGCACGTAAAGTGTGATATTCCGAATATATGTGCAGTGAATATTAAATTCGAACGAACTGTACGTCTAATTGGTGTCTATACCCCAGGAGTAAAAGCTGAGAATGTGATCTTCTTTCTTGCTACATTATAGATCAGTGTTGCCTGTTTGGCGATTTTATCATCGATTTAGATAGTAAAACAGATGAAAGAGCTGCCAAGGATTTACTGGATTGATCTGGGGGACAGACACTTGCTTCAATTGTGCCCAGTGCGTCCACCTTCCTTCGTTCAGATAGTCTCATTGACTATGCCTTTACCAGCGGTATCCCGCTTACAATTCAAACTTACGTAGATAGGGTGTGGGTGTGGATGGGTGGGGGTGGGGTGTGGGTGAGTCTTCATCTTCTCTTCATCCACACCCACACCCACCGACACCCACACCCATATCCTCAAGGTGGTCATCTTCTACAAAATATGCGAAACAAGCACGTGATCTCAGCCTTTGCTTTCTTGAATACTTCATTTCGCTGCATTAAGCTGTAAATCACGCATCAGCGCATGTTTTTCCAGTGTGATGGAAGACGGAGAAACTTTATTATATTGAGTAATTATCGAGCTTGAATAGCACTATTGCTCTCATGCAGAAGAATACAGAAGTAAATAACGGTTATTACACACAAGCTTGACTGTGTGTATTGGCGAATGAGAAAATAGAAAAATCAATCACAGCAGTATTTGAGCCTGGATCGCAGTAAGAGTGTGGGTGTGGTTGGGTGTGGGTGTGGGTGTGGATGTGGGTGTGGGTGTGGGTTGGGTGTGGGGTGTGGGTGTGGGTGTGGGTGTGGGTGTGCACACCCACACCCCAAATATAGATTCCAGCGATCCACGAGAGATCAAACCTGTCAAATTTTACTGAAATATGTTAATACATCTTCTACAACAATGGGCATAAGAAGAATAAATATAACTAAATCCCTAAATATCTTGTAAATATCCGAATTGGAGTTTAAAACGTGTGATTTGATTCTTGCAATCCGTCTATTAGTAGTCTAAGACTCTTTAATACCATTTGAGCATTTTGTGTATCTATTTGTAAAAGAATTAATATATATATCAATATCAGAGAAGATTTGAAATGAAGAACATAAAATAAGATGAATTTAATTTTTCTTGGACTGCTCATGATTCTCAATAGGAATTTGTATCTTATTACTGTATTTAAAAATAAACTGATTGACTCGATATTAAACTAGTGTCTTTCAACAAAAAATGATCGAATGGTAACAAATGTAAGCAGCATTTTATAGCAGACATTCGAACGATATGTATATTGTGAAACACGATCTGAAAGGAGTGTTGAAGTGTATAGGGTAGAAATTTTGCACCCACACCCACACCCCTCTAGTTTAAGTATATGCATCGAATAAAAACTGGTTTAAATCGGCTNGTAGAAATTTTGCCCCCCCCCCCCCCCCCCCCCCCCCCCCACCACCACAGACCGTGACAGATAAACTTAATACCCATCGCAGACCGTGACAGAGAATCCAGGTACCAATCAGAGACCGTGCCAGAGGAACTCCAGAGATCATCACAGACCGTGACAGAGAAACTGTAGCTGTAAAGCATCAGATAAACAGTTAGCTACAAATGTATCGCAACGTAATGAAACAAAAGGATTTCCATTTAATTAGTAATAATAGAGCTGTCGTGTTTCACATTTTTAATCCCGCAAGGGATTGCACTAACAGCTGTTTTAGCTATATCAAATTATTAACGATAAAAGTCAGTGAATATTAAAGCTTGATGATCAACATTGATCGGATTTCGTCATACTAAAAAAACAAAATTTTAAATCACCTGAATCATCTATCTTATATTCATCTAATCACCTTTCAATAGTCAAGACTTCCTCAAAATTAAAGTCAATCTCTCGAGGAATGATATATTACTTATAAGTTGAAGCAAAATAAATTGATTGATCAACGAAACGAAAAATCTGAACGGGTGCTGCGATTTAATCAGTAGTGTAGCTGCTATTTTGGATAAAACCCAATACATCTGCTCACTTGATTTTGTCTCACGAGTTGTTCTGGAGCGAATATGTTCATTCC